GAATCTGAGGCAAGCGGGAGACTTTTCACGTACACCTCTTTGTGTTTTGTAAAGCCAGACGTGGCAGCGCATGTCTGTAATCCCAGCACTAGAGAGGCAGAGGCAGGAGGATCGTTGAGAGTTCAAGACCAGCCTGGGCTACCAAGGAAGCTCATGGCCAGCCTGAACTGCATAGCGAGACCCTGTCTCAGAAAGACAAAAAAATAAAAATAAAAATGTTTTGCTATGATTTTTCACTTTCTTTTCAAGCATTTGTTTGGGATAATTTTCATCCTTCGGTATATCTTTTCTAATCGTTTGAGTTTGCAGCCATGGGAATATAGTCCCTATTCAAAATACACAAATTTCATGTCAAATAAACAGCACATGGTTTTGCTATTATCTACTATATTGTGGTGCGTAAACAATTTTCTGTCTCCGTCACTGAGTAAATGATTCTTGATCGCCTGCCCTAAGCCAGGCACTGTTCTGGGCCTGGAAGACACATTGCCGGGCCTTGGTTTCTTCCTCTGTACTGCCGAATGTTATGGTTTGTATCTGGATGTCCCCCACAAAGCTTCACGTGGCTGGAAGGTGGGGCTTTTGAAATATGACTGGATTGAGAGGGTACAGCTGGCTCGCTGTTAGGAGGTGGGGTCTGTTTGGCAGAGGCAGGTTGCTGGGGGCGTGGTCTGGTAAGAGGAATCTCCTGCCTGCCCGCCCCCACCTTGCCTGGAGTCAGGCAGCTATGGGCTGAAGCGTGAGCCGAAATAAACTGTCCTCCTTTCATAGTTTGATGTCACCAAACTAGATAACCTCAGGCCTTCCACTTGAGGGTGTGGCAGACTCCCCAGAGCCCCCAATCAGTGGCCTGGGTGGAGCCTAGGATTTAGCAGGTGTGATAGGTCCCAGTGATACTGATGCAGCCAGCCCAGGAACCCCACTTTGGGAACCAACCTAGGGTTCCACCTGGATCTGTGCTAATAAGTGAACTACATTCCCATTCTACAAATATGAGCAAACAAAGGCAAGAGACCTCTACTCAGAATACAGAGTACTTCTCCCCAGCAAGCTGAGAGGACTTCACTAGACAAACGCGTCCACAGAAATTAAAAGATCTCACCTCCGTAAAAGCACACAATAGTCTAAACCTGGTCAGTCGCAAAATGTCACTCTTCCTGGGGGAAGAGATTGTTTTGCAGTGCTTTCCAGGAAGGTTGAATAGAGAGACCTGAGCCAGGAAGGCATTTGGAAGTCACCAAGCCGAATGCCCACAGGAAGAGGGAGGTGCAGTTGGGTGGCACCTTGGAGTCCACCGCAGTTTACCCTACCTCACAGGGACAGCCTGGGAGTCCCTGACAAGGACACCGTGCCCGGCAGGGACACCTGCACCCAGCTCCGTGGCTGTACTCCTGCCCTTCCCTGGCCCCTCCACCCTTTATGTCTTACTTGTCCATGAGGACCGTGGTGCAGTATGGGTGTCTGTCCCGCCTCTACTGGGACCCTTCTCCCTTAGTTCAATGGGAGACTTGATTATTGTTTTTACTCATTGATTCATTCACTTAACAAATGTTGTCCTTCCTTTAACAAATTCTTAATAGAGGCTCTCTGTGGTACTGGGCATCATACTAGGCTTTGGGGATAGAATCGTAGGTAAAAACTGGCTCCTGCTCCAATAGAGAATGATTCACTAATCAAATAACTGCACTGAGGGTGTCCACCTACAGGATGAGAAGAGCATTCCAAAGGAAAGGAAAGGAATATGGTTTTATAAGAAAGTGGAGAGAGGGACCTGGTATAGACTTGAGATTTGTTTTTTGTTGTTGTTGTTGTTGTTGTTTGGTACCGGAAATTGAACTCACAACCTTGCACTAGCCAGGCAGAGCTGTGCTGCTGAGCTATATCCCCAGGCTACACTTGAGATTTGAAAGATGCTCAGTACTTGGCTAGACAAAGAGGAGGTGAGGAGGGGAAGAGCTCTGAACATGGAGGAATAGCATGTGCAAAGGTCCTGTGCTGGGAAGAAGTATGACCTGTTCCAGGAAAGAGTTCTGTGGTACAGCAGTGGGTTTGGGGGAGGTGATACTGAGCAGCCTTGAACAAGGAAGTAGGGAGGCAGCTGGCCATCGAAGCTGGGGGAGTCATTGGGGATGGGCAGGGATGGGAGGAGGCTGCAGAGGGGGTGTCTGCTGGGACTGCATCATAAGCCCAGAAAGAGAGAGTGTTCCCAGGAAAGTGGCCACTTCCTGTCCCCGATGTTTCTCATTCCCCCCTCTCTCCGCTCACTGCCACCTGCATTCAGGTCCCATTTGCATCTTCCCTAGATGTAGCACGATTCTAACGATTCTTGGGTTTTAAGTGCACTTGAAGCCCTTGGGGGTATGGGGTGGATCTGTAACAGGAGCCACCTTGGGAGCAGCAAGGGGACTTGGTCTCCCTGCTTCTGAAGTCCTACAGCATGGCACTTCTGCTCTGAAGTCTCCAGTGATGTCCATTGCTCAGGTTCACTTCAAGTCCAAGGTCTGCTCTGGGGACTCCGGGCAGCCTCGGCTTCCTTCCAGCTGCCCTTCATCCCCCCGAGACCAGACGCAGGCTCACAACCTCCCAGGGGCCTCTTTCTTCTGCAGAAAAGAGACAGAGAGAGCCCCAGCTCAGCTTGCAGGTGGAGGGTGCAACTTCAGAGGGTGCAACTCCAGACTTTCCTGTTTAAAGTCCTTGCTGAAACAATTCTATAAAACTCTTTCCCCTCTTCACCCTTTTTTAAGTTTACATCTATGTTTGCTATCATATGTGCACAGTAGATGTGATTTCCAGTCTGTCCTAAACATTGATTTTTTTTTTTTTTTTTTAATACGCTCTCACTATATCCTCCAGGCTGGCCTTGAACTTGCAGCAATTCTCCTGCCTCAGCCTCCTGAGGGCTGGGATGACAGGCATGTGCTGCCACGCCCTGCAAACTTTTTAAGTAAACTATTGCATCACTGTTTAAAATTTATCCAGTGCAATCTCCATACCATAGCAATTTGATGCCCACCATCACCCATTTTAAAAATTCATGAACTCGCTCTTCTTTAATAGTCTGTTCTTTAATAGTCTGTTCTTTTTCCTCCTGGGAATTTTATTTCCATTCTGCTTTCCCCTTGGAATTTTATCCTAATGTAATATATGTATCATATGCTTATGCTTAGAACTCTTTTTCATTTGTGTCCCTATTACATTTCTCTGGAACAACCTTATATAAAGTTGGAAATTTTTTTAATTTTCTAGAATCACAAGCTCAGGCCAAGGATATAGCTCAGTGGCACAGGCACCTGCCTGGCAAGCACAAGGTCCTGAGTTTGAGTCCCGGTACAAAAAAAAAAATAGAATCACAAGCTCTAAGTATTACAGTTTTCTTTGGGTTAGAGTTATCATTACAATTATGAATAGGACACAATTATCAAAAAACCACAAATGTCTTGCTAATTTGGGTAAGTAATTAATAAACATAAAAAGTAAACTGATACCAAAAATGCATCCCTTAATGAGATGGCGGTATTGGGTGACTTTTTTAAGTGAACTTTTTATTGACGTATGACATGCACACCCGTACCTGACCAGGTCACGGTGTACAGCTTCAGTCATCATAGAGTGCAGGTACCTGCGCAGTTATCACCCAGAAGTAGGAATAAAATACCGCTGGTGCTGGGCTGCGTCTGCAGTACTTATCCACATAAGAATCGTACCTATTGCTAGCATGAGACAAGAGTCAGCATCAATTGTATTTCCGTTTTTCATTTATATGAAAGTGAGCACTGAAAACTTTACTTGAATTTGATTGGGGTAGAAGTGAAAGCAGGGTCACACTGTTCTTTGACCTCCTTCTGAGCTATATCGTGATCTGTCTCCAAGAAGTATATTATAATTTTCCTATTACTACTTCCTAGTTTAAAAAAAAAAAGAATGAGAAACTTCTCTTCCCTGGAGAGACAGAGAGAAGGAGAGATAAGGGGAGAGAGAGAGGGACAGAGAGGGAGAGGGAAAGATATTTTTATCACTCATCTGTTTGCTTTCACAGCTTTCCATGTGCCCTCCTGTGTGGTCGCTGGCGATGGTCGTGGGAGGTGAAAGAGGATTCTCTCTGGGCCATTGAGCCCAATTAAGATCTGGGGTGCAGGGGGCTGGGGATTTAGCTCAGCGGCAAAAGCACCTGCCTGGCAAGCGCAAGGTCGTGAGTTCGGTTCCCGGTACCGGAGAAAAACCAAAAAAAAAAAAAAGATCTGGGATGCAATGGTGGGGGGCTTTCTTTGTGTGCGGGGGGGATTACAAAAGCGTAATCCACACAAGGTATTGAAGGACAACAGGCCCCGCTCTCAACCCCCAGTTCTAGGAGAGTTTGTATATAAGTTGAGGGTCTGAAAACTGATTCTCTTAAATCTCGAGCGGCGTGTCCAATGTTGAGAAAGTCCTCCTCTGCACCCAGCAGTCCGAAGCCCAGTTAGAAGCCCACAAGCTTCCCAGTCTCTGGTTCCCATCTCTCCTACTTTGGCCACTGTTACTATCTGCGGATCTTTCCCCTCTGTGTTGTATTTTTCACATGATCCATCACCTTCGCCAACTATAAGCTCCTCAAGGGGCTCAAGACAGGTACCCAAGTCTTGATCATTTGCTAGCATTGTGCCTCACATTTAGCAGAAGTCTAGTAAATATCAGGCAAATTGCCTATCATAGGTTTCTTCACAACCATCCTGGGTCCTAGCATGGTGCTGGGTATTCAGTAGCAGGGTCTCAGAAGAATAGATGAATTAATCAGTGAGCAAAGAAGAAAATAGCAAATCAGTGAGCTAATGAGCCACTAGGCAAAGGCTTGAAAGTAAAAGAGTCCACACCTTGTGGAAGAATCCAGATCTGCAGAATTGTAAAGGATGGGGAATGTGCAACACCGCTTTATATTCCTTCTTATAATTGGTCATCACAAACATAATCACTCATTCAAAACGTCTGTATGAATCGTGCCTCATGCTTTGCATCTTGTCTTACAGGTGTGTGCAGCCTCTTCTCACCGTGGTGGTGTTTGGTCTGGACCTCAGCCCGGGTGAGGATGTAAAACCCCCCGCTCTGCACATGCGTGGTCCAGGCCAGCAGGAACCCCCGGCCTCAGCCACCCTCACAGCCATGTCAGCCGTGGAGTAGCGCGGACGTCTCCTCTCAGCTTCTCAGGGTTTCAGTCTTTCCGGGTTTTCTTCATTTACCTTTTTTTATGGTTTTGTGGCTGGACACTGACAACCAAGTCAGGCACCATGGGGGATCAGCAGTTGTACAAGAGCAACCACGTGGCCCATGGTGGTGAGAACCTTTTCTACCAACAGCCACCCCTTGGTGTCCACAGCGGGCTGAACCACAACTATGGGAACTCAGTCACGGGGGGCGGAATGGACGCCACTCAAGCTTCGCCCATTTCCCCCCACTTCCCCCAAGATACTCGGGATGGTCTGAGCTTGCCTGTTGGCTCCAAAAACCTTGGCCAGCTAGATACCTCGAGACAGGGAGGGTGGGGAGGCCACGCAGGGCCTGGCAACCATGTCCAGCTACGTGGCAACCTGACCAACTCCAACATGATGTGGGGGGCTCCGGCCCAGGTGGAGCCTGCTGATGGCTATCAGTACACCTACTCCCAGGCCAGCGAGATCCGGACCCAGAAGCTCACCAGCGGCGTCTTACACAAGCTGGACTCCTTCACCCAGGTGTTTGCCAACCAAAACCTGCGAATCCAGGTCAATAACATGGCCCAGGTGCTGCATACCCAGTCGGCAATGATGGACGGAGCTCCTGACAGTGCCCTCCGCCAGCTGCTGTCTCAGAAGCCCATGGAGACCCCAGCGCCGGCTCTGCCATCCCGGTACCAGCAGGTGCCGCAGCAGCCTCACCCTGGTTTCACAGGCGGGCTATCCAAGCCAGCCCTGCAGGTCGGGCAGCACCCTGCCCAAGGGCACCTGTATTACGACTACCAGCAGCCCCTGGCCCAGCTGCCCATGCAGGGAGGACAGCCGCTGCAGGGCCCCCCGGTGCTGTCCCAGCCCATGCCGCAGATGCAGCACCAGTATTATCCACAGCAGCCGCAGCAGCCAGTGGGGCAGCAGCGTCTCTCCGTGCAAGAAATGCAGCCGCAGCCTCCGCAGCAGCAGACCCGCCCGCCTCAGCCTCAGCAGCAGCCGCGGCAAGTTCCGATGCAGATACCTCAGTATTATCAGCCCCAGCCCATGATGCAGCACTTGCAAGAGCAGCAGCAGCCATCGATGCACCTGCAGCCCCCTTCTTATCACAGGGACCCCCACCAGTACACCCCAGAGCAGGCACACGCCGTCCAGCTGATTCAGCTGGGCTCCATGGCTCCCTACTACTACCAGGAGCCCCAGCAGGCCTACAGCCACCCCCTCTACCAGCAGAGCCACCTGCCCCAGCACCAGCCACGTGAGGACAGCCAGCTGAAGACTTATTCCAGCGACAGGCAGGCCCCAGCCCTGCTGAGCTCCCAGGGGGACCTGGCAACTCCTGATACAGGAATGGGAGACCCGGCCAGCTCAGACCCAACCCGGGTTGGCAGTGCTCTCCCCCACCGACCGCTCCTGTCCCCCACGAGTGGGATTCACCTCAACAGCACAGGCCCTCAGCATCCACAGCCGTCTCCCAGTGCCACGTGGCCTCAGGTATTCTCACCCCGTGGAGTTTCTCTCTAATCTCGGGGTATGGTGGGCCCAATCGTACTCCTTCCCTGGACTTTCTTCATACATTCACAAATGCTAAGCTACCGCTGCCAGACACTGTCTATGCCAGGCACTTGGAAATCCAAATCAACTTCGGTTGAGTCCTCTGTGCAGGGAGCTTATGATCTCAGGAAGGAGATGGTCAAAAACTGTGTCCTATCCCAAAGTGAATCATGTGATGATCTGGATCTTGAGTCAGAGTCCAGGGAGCCCCACAGTTGAGTGGGTGTCTTACCTGCCCGTTGCATCTGTTATCCTCAGGGTATTTCCTGGGAAACGGGTCTCCCTTTGGGACTGTTAAATGACAGCATTTCTCAAAGTATATTGCCCTGAACAGCAGTTCTGCAAAATATTAATGGATATTGCTGAGAGGCAGCAGCTTCTGCATAAATTTGGAGATTCTTAAAGCGGGCCCCGTGGGCCTTTCCTAGGCCAGTGTACATTGTGAATCCCCCAAAGGGGATGCTGCCAGTAGCTGCAGAGAAGGAAAACCTTAGCTGCCACAGAATCCAGGCTGCAAAGTGGATTAGCAAGGGTCTGGTACGAGGTGCTAATGAGTGGGGGAGACTCTGTGGACTAGAGATTGGGGTTCCATTTCATTCAAGATGTTTAAAATCAATCCAGCCAACTAAAACATGACTGCCAGCCACAGTGAGCCTGTGGTCCATGGTTATTCACCCTTGATCGGTTGGTTCTTCAAAGTGGCCACAAACAAGCATACTACAGTGTGTGCTGGGTAGTGTTTGTGCCTTGGCATAGTGGGGTGCCACGCTCATGTGACAACAGGGCCTTGGGCAGAGGGGGCCTGAAATGGGAACTAGATGGTGGAGAGGGTACTGAGGGGTTCAAGGCCCAGGAGAACTTTCCCTTGGCCTGCTTGTGTCTAGAGCACAGATGCACTGGTGACCGAGAGCCTTTGTGAATATATCAATGAGATGGCGGGTGTTGTGTCACCCAGCTGTCCTCTCTGTGTCCCATGTGGGGACGGAGCCTGTCTGTGCAGGGGGCTGCACCTGGAGAACCAAAGGCAGGTGGGGGAGGCTGTGTCCTGTGGGACCGCTGCTGGCGGCAGCTCTGGGCAAGGGGTGGTCGTCCCACCTTGGGCAGTTATGTGGAAGGAGCCGGGTGCTGCAGAGCAGGGGCACCAGACATGGGGGCCGTGCTGTCTCACTGTCTGAAACCCCTCCCTCAGAAACCCTTGCTTTTTCTCCCTTTTGTCTTTCCTTCGGCATCCGGCTTGGTCAACACTAGATGCACCTACCTGATGGGAGAGCCCAGCCAGCGTCTCCCGAGTCAAGGTAGGATGAGGGGCGCTTGGTGGGTTCACAGACCCTGGGGGTTTTTCTGGGCTGTCTTTCACTGCTCTTTTCTAAATTCACAGCCAACCTCTCCAAGTGTATAAGGATAACAGTAACAGCGCTGCATCAGGCACCCTGAGGGTGATAGGATCATTATGTGCCTGACCATAGCAGGCGTTCAAGGGCTGGGGGTGTGATTGCCAGGTATGTGTGAGGCCTTGGGCTCCATCCCCAGCACCTAAAAAAATCAAAACCAAACTGGGAGCACTCAATATTGTTAGCTATCACTATTACCATTTTACAAAAGAAAAAACTGAGACTCAAAGCTGGGCACGGTGGCACATACCTGTGATCCCAGCACTCCAGGAGGCAGAGGCAGGAGGATCCTAAGTTCAAGTCCAGTTTGAGCAACTTAGTGACTTGGAAAGAACCTGTCTCAAAATAAAAAATAAAAAGGGCTGGGGGGCCAGGGATATAACTCAGCGGCATAAGCGCCCACCTGGCAAGCGCAAGGTCCTGAGTTTGATTCCCGGTACCAAAATAAATAAGTAAATAAAATAAAAACAAAAAGGGCTGGGGGGGCGGAGGATTTAGCTCAGGGGCTGGGGATTTAACTCAGCGGCAAAGCGCCTGCCTGGCAAGCGCAAGGTCGTGAGTTCGGTTCCCGGTACCAAAATAAATAAGTAAATAAAATAAAAACAAAAAGGGCTGGGGATGCAGCTCAGCGTGAAAGCCCTAGGTTCAATACGCAGTGTGAAAACGGGGCGGTGGGAGGGCAAAGGGAAGAAACCGAGGCTCAGAGGGCTTAAGGTTATACATCAAGCACTCATTGAATTCAAAGCAGTGTTGGCATTGACTTCAAAGCCCATGTCTGTCCACTGTCCATGCATTCAGTTAGTGAGGGTTTATTAAGTGCCTGCATTGCACGCAGCAGTGCATAGTAGACTCAGCTCCTCCCACAGGGGCATGGCAAATAAGTAAAGATGGAGGCAGAACCTGAACTGCTGAATCACGGGACCCAGGGGCTGCCCCAGGGGACGTAAGACACACTTGTCTCTCGGCAACACCTCCCAAGCAGCTATGCTGCAGCTGATTGCAGAAGGGCAATGAGCCACAGGTGGGAGAACCGTGGTTCTTAAAGGCCTGGAGGAAAGGTGAAGGATATGTTTGTTGGGCAACTCCTGTGTGACTTTTAAGAAAGTCCTCTCCCACTCTGAGCTTGGCTTTCCATCTGAAAAAGGGTATTAGGCCATGGAGGAAGGTGCTGAATGAATGAACTGTGTCCCTTGGGGTGTTCAGTCTGTGTTTTCCTTTGTCACTGTGTGTTCTCTCCCCTAAACAGTGGCCAACCCAAAGGGATGTTCGGGGAGCCGTTCGACGCCAAGAACAAGCTGACGTGCCCCATCTGCCTGAAGGAGTTCAAGAGCCTACCCGCCCTGAATGGCCACATGCGGTCCCACGGGGGGATGAGGGCCTCCCCGAGCCTCAAACAGGTTAGCAGGCGCCATCTCTCATCCTTCCCAGGCCATGTGCTGCTTGCTTTGCCTTGCCAACATCAGACACAGGTGACAGAGGAACGTAAGACCGGAGAGGCCAGGCCAAGAAGCCCCTCTTCCCTGGCCTTGTGGACAAGGGTCAAAAACAGGTACTAGAAATCCTTTCAGGGGATCCCAGTCTACCTCCTAGAGAAGAGAGGCGAAGAAAATATGTAAATGCAATACTATTTTTAACTTCTGCTGCTTGAGCCCCCCAAGGCCTTAGACCTTGGGCCTTCAAGGTCAGCAGTCAGTAACCAAGGAAAGTTCAAGTAACCGTCAGGCTCTGAGCCCGAAGCTTCTGCTCACCACTGCAGTGGGTGTTCACCTCCAGCACCCAGAGTCCCTTACACACACTAGGTTATCCAGGGTAGCTACCCAGGTAGCAAAGTGTCCACGAGCTTTTGAGTTAGATTAAAATTCTCAGAATTCTTTGCACATTGTTGATTCTAATCTAAGTCTAAGGAATGAACTCTGTCAACCAAAATCTTGGATTACCCGGATCTCTCCACCTCCTGTCCATGCCAGATTAAAGAACTTTGTCTTCATTTTTTAAAAACATGTTTTAGCCGGTCATGGTGGTGCACGCCTATGATCCCAGCACTCAGGAGGCTGAGGCAGGAGAATCGTTGGGAGTTCAAGACCAAAGTAGGCTACAAAGTAAGCTCAAGGCAAGCCTGAACTACATAGTGAGACTCTGTCTCAAAAAGACAAAAAAAAAAAATATTTTGCATTTTGCCTTTATCCATGTTTCCTAACATGGATAAAATTGAAGATGGAAGAAGCCAGGCATGGTAGTGCACACCTGTCATCCCAGCACTCTGGGAGGCTGAGGCAGGAAGACTGCAAATTGGAGCCTAGCCTGAGCAATTAGTAATTTAGTGAGACCCTATCTCAAAATTAAAAAATAAAAAAGGACTGGGGCTGTAGCTCAGTACAAAAGCCCTGGGTTCAATCCCCAGTACTGAAATATGAGGATGGAATGCCTCAAATTGGATGCATGTGTGAACTGAATCCACAGACTTAGAAGATCCTACATAAGATCACACATTTTTTTGGCAGACTACAAGTCCAAGTCCATTTCTCTAAAAGCAATGACAACTCCCCCCTAATATTTAAAATGTTTTAATATACAAGCAATACATTGTCAAGATGTGAGGAAACAGAGCACATGGCCTTGTCTACAACCCACCTGGACCACTCACCTAGGCACCCAAGTTACAAGAACTCACCGGCAGTGGTTCTCTGTCACTCATGCCTGATGTCCTGGAACCTTGCGAGAAAAGCAAATTGCATTCCCCTTGGGAGAGCAGTGCTCAGCCCAGGATCAAAGCTCTCCTTGTCTGTGTAGGAGGAAGGAGAGAAGGCCCCGCTGCCTCAGCCCCTGCCGCCTCCGCCTCCTCCTCCGCCTCCGCCGCCGCAGCCGCAGCCGCAGCCGCAGCCGCAGCTCCCTCCCGAGGCGGAAAGCCTCACGCCTATGGTCATGCCCGTGTCTGTCCCTGTCAAGCTTCTCCCGCCCAAGCCCAGCTCTCAGGGGTTCACCAACAGCGTTGCTGCCGCCCCCTCCGCCAGAGACAAGCCCACCAGCTCCGTGTCGGACGACGAGATGCCTGTGCTCGTGAGGATGACTCTCTCTCCCCCACACTCCCCCCAAGGGGCTGCCCCCCGTGCTCCCACTGTGAGTCGCTGCTCTGCACCCTGCCTGGGGTGGGACATCCCTGTGCTTTCTCAGAGATAGAGACAGCTCTTCCAGTCACTGGCCTGAGCTCAGACACAGCTGAGCCCCCACAGCCACCTGCCACTGCCCGCTGAATGCTGATTACTCTTGCAGGCTGATGGCTTGGCTTGGATTCTGGACACCTCAAGGGGTCCCCAGGTTAGGACAGATGACAGCTCAGCCGGCTGTCACTGATTCAGCCATACCGGTCAATTGTAGCAGTACTCGTCAGCTGTGTATGTCCATTCAGCTGTGAAAGCAGTTCTGCTCCAGACAGGAAGAGCCCTTGCCCGGGGTTCCCCAGGACCTCCAGGCCGCTTCAAACATGGCACCAAAGAGGTCACCCCGCAAAGCTATCTGCTTATCACACTGTTAAATTTTGCTTCCTCCCCTAACCGCCCGCCTCACCCTTCTCCCCTGCCTTGCCCTGGGGAATCCGTGCCTGCATGGGGGCGATGTCGGCCCATCCCACCCAAGTCCTGTGTTGGTCCTGTTTGTCCTCAGAGAATAGGAGGTGTGAGGGGAGCTGTGGGCCAGAAGAGGGCCAGGGAGACCCAAGAGAAGCAGAGAAGTCTGGGAGGAGCCGTTTGGTTCCTGTTGCCGTGGGAAGAGGAGAGGCTGATGGGAACCTCGGGAGAAGGGTTCTCCTGAGCAGGCGGGAGACCAGCGCCGGGCAGCGAGGAGCCCGTGTGCCAGGCTCCCCTTCGGCCCAGGGCTGTGTCTGATGTCCTGGGAGGGAGAGAACCCTCAGTCAGGGGTGCTAGTCACACGGGGTCACAGCCCAGGCAGCACACACCTGCCCCAGTCACTCAGGATGGCAGGAGAAAGATGAGGGCAGAGGAGGAACGAGAGAGACAGACAGACAGACACAAAGTGTCCAGGAAGAAGCCCTGAATTCCAGCCTTAGGACACCCTTGCTCCCGCACGTCTTGGTGTCTGTCCCGTGGGGATGTCTTGGTGTCTTGTCCCGAGGACCAACACAGGACTCAGAGTGGCTTCTCTGCCCAGGTGGCTCACAGCCTTTCCTGCAGAATCGGGAAATCCTGTGTGAGGCTGGAGGAACAGGACTCCATGACTCAGCGGGCAGAGCCTAGAGGGCTGTGGCCCCGGGCTTAGCAGTCAGGGTTGCAGCACAGTTAGGCTCCTGGGAGTCCTTACGCCTACATGGCTGTCAGGGACCGGAGCGGCTGGAGTTTCAGGGTTGCAGCCTGCTGGGTGGGGGTCATGGCCTCCTTTTCGTCTCCTCAACCTGTCTCTCCCCACCTCAGCCTCTCCCTGCACCCCACAACCCCTCTCCACCCTGAGCACCACCTGCACACCTCTGTCCTCCCCTATACCTCCGCCCCTCCCCATACCCCGGCCCCGCCCTCCCACCTCGGCCACGCCCCCACCTCAGCTCCTCCCTTATACTTCAACCCCTCCCTCCCAGTCCCACAACTGCGGGCCTCACGCGGGCGTCACGTGGGTGGGTGTGCTGGTCACGTGGTCGCCCTTCCCGTCGCCCACCGCGAGGCCCCGGCTGAGCAGCGCGTTGACCCCGTGGCCTGTGGCCTCGGCAGGCGTGCACCTTGCTCCCGCACGTCTCGGTGTCTGTCACCCTCGGGGCAGGTGTCACCAGAGCAGGTGGTGACAAGGTGGCAGGCAGCTTGAGGCAGGGTCCTCGGCCCATCCGAGGGCTCCCGAGACGCCGGTCCCAGCGCCAGGGTCCTGGCCTCTTTCTGAGGGCGCGGGGCCCCTCTACGAGGTTCCTGTCACGCAGGTGTGACGGTAGAGGACCCCGACGCCGCGCCCCTGGTCGCCCCTGGCCCCAGCCCCGCTCCGAATCCGGGCTGCGCCGACCCCGTAGAACGCGCACTCTTCCCACAGGACGCGCCCCGGAGGC